AACAAGTACACACAATAATTGCTTTATGATTATTTTCATACTTCCATCTCAAGTCTGCAAGGAAGTCATACAATATGTACCATGTACATTCTTGTTCAGTGAGTGCATTTGTTTGTATCCACATAGTGTTAAGTTAAAGCTTTTATGTAGGGTGTAATTTAGAAATGGAGCACCATAAAATATACCATAGCGAAATAAAACTGAGAACAGTAATAAAATGTCTAGCATATTTTAATGAGACTATACACTGAAACAGATATTTCATCTTTGCATAGGACCCTGGAAGTTTAGTGATCCTTGGGTTTCATTTGTTTTTTCAGTGCCACACTCTCTGCTAAAGATCCCAGATTTAGTTGTCCCTCTTACTGATGCATTTCCCATAATGTAACATAAATAAATGAAAACACTGGCCAGAGTAACGGCTGCAGCACGTGGGAGGATCTATGAACTTACGTGCAGAGATCTAAGCCCTAGAGTCTTTGAGGTTAGGGCGGGTTTGAACAACACAGCTTTGAACCAAATCTAGAAGGTCAGTCAGAAGTATGAGTTTACAATTCCCTCAGCTAAAATAAAAAAGTTGTAAAAGCTCATTATCATTTATAAACAAACAAGGTAACATTAATAAATGAAACTCCTATATTGGTGTTTTGAGTTTGTGAATGAAAAAAAAAAAAAAAAAAAGGTGTATTGTTAGTTTAACTAGGTTGATGAAGAAAACAGAGCACCAATAAAACGAGCCTGGGGAGTAACATTTACAGCATGTGCACTTGATCATTTTTTTTCTAAGAGAAGAAGGAAACTACATATAGAAATGATACAGTTTAAACTCAGGAGTTATATCTTAAAAATGCATTCAAGTACTATTAACAAAAATATAACTTATTCACGCATCACTCGTCTGTAGATCCTGAAATCATCTCTGAATTGGTGCTGAGACTGTCCTTCCTTCTGGAGGGTGGCTACTTTTGTTCCCCATGGTCCCTGTGTAAAGTAGCCACCGCTCCTATCTCACTCCTATGATGGACTACAATCTCATGTTTAGTTATCTAATTTGTATTGAGATTGTAGTCCATCACAGGAGTGAGCTTGAAGAGGTGGCTACTTTACAGCACACACAGGGACCATGAGAAAAAAGAAGCCACCCTCCAGAAGGAAGGACAGTGCCAGAACCAATTCATATGATTTGAGAATCTACAGTTGAGTGTTACGCAAATAAGTAACACTTTTGTTAATAGTTAAAAGGTACCTGAATGTATTTTTAGGATTTAACTCCTGAGTTTATTGTCACTTTAAACTGCAGTTTTCTTCTTACAGGAATTAGATTGCTAACTGCAACAGAATATGACATACAAGAGGGTGAGGTGGTGTCAAGGGGAAACAGAAAATTAAGCTTTTAGTAGAGCATTGACAGGCAGGAGACCAGCTGAAAAGTAACATCATGGCAATGCTCTAAAAAGGTATTCTCCAAACAAAGAAAAAACTTCAGAGTTAGCAAGTGATGCATATAAAGTAAATATATTGTGTCATTTGTGGTCACACAAACTTGTTCATTTAGGGTGTCACTCACTCCCCTTCATGCTATCTACATCCTGTGATTACAAAGTCTGACAGGAAACTGCTTAAACATGCTTTCCTTTGTTACCCTTATGCTGTCAAAGTATTTTAAAACATGAAGGGGGCTGAGTGAAACCGTGAGTCGCATGGTGTCGTTGGCAATTGCCAGCAGTTTTCCAATGTGGGTGCTGGATTGCTGGACAGCCAGAACAGATAGCATTCAAACATGGTGCTATGCAGTTATCAAGGTACATGTGTTATATGGCTGTTTATTGTTCACAGAGTGATTACAGGATGGACTTCCACTTTAATATAGAGGTGGTAAGGGTGATCAGATCAGCAAATTGCTGATTATTCTGGATAACAATGATGCTCACTGAATGAAAGATGGCTGAGAGGGTAGATACCTACAGGTCTTCCCTATTTGCCATCCATTGGGGTTATTCCAGCTACCAAGGACATAAGTCCCAAAAATGTCGGGCTGCAGATGCCACTGTGAGCACAGTGATCCAACATCTTGCGGTCATTGTTAATGATTGGAAACCAGGAACGTTGCCCAGATCACATGATTGAGAAGCCCACTTCCTGGCATTAAGGACCCTTTAAAAAGCCCATGTAAGTATCAACACACATACCTGCATATGAAAATACATGCAGTCAAATAGGTGGTAGAGGCACTTCGCTGCATTTATAAATATACTATGGCTGTACCCCTTATTCTTGAACATAGGAAGTAAAGGACCCTTAGATACTTTGGTGATAAGATGCTGAAAAGATAACTTGGTTGAAAAAATAATTTACATCCAAGAAAAGGCCACTGCAGAGACACCAATTCTCAGGATAGTACTAACTTCAAATCTCAAGGATAAAAATGATTAGTATCAGTACAAAATAAACATTGTGGTCATATTTACTAAAAAGAGTAGAGTATGTTTTCACTTATATTGACAAAGCTAAAGTGAAGTGAAAATTCAGATTTGGCTCATTCACTAAGCGAATAATTTACTTCGCTTAGTGAATGAGATGATAATGATCAGAGGAAGTTGATCTTTGTGTGCCAATGACCTAAACATAGCAGCTAACAGGAAGGAGTTAGACAAGAAAGAAATATCACCACACACACCACCAGGACAACACCACAAGTATGACATAGCTTTACTAACCAATATAAAGACTATATGCACCAAACTGTTTGTGTTAATATACGTAACGCAAATTTTGGTATCAATAAAACCCTCCCCAAAATAGGACAAGACTAAAAAAAATTATAAAAAGTTAATAATGTTGTCAAAAACAAAATCACATGATAGGGTCACAAGCCCATTAATGAGCATAATGAAAAATCCAGCCAAGCACTGTATGCCTAAATACAAATGCAGTGTATTTGCAACTAGCCTGTAGCACAGTGATAGTAAGTGGCTGGATATTCCTCGGCGAGAGTACAGGTAAATACTGGCCACTATTACTGTGAATATAGCTCATATATTTAGTCTGGCAAACACAGAGATGTACTGGGCCCACAATTCAGCAATGCTCATTTCCACCACTGTGCGTAGATAACTTTCCACACTGGCAATAAAATCCACATATCTAATTGCCAATGTAGCTCAATGGATGAACTCAGGCTTAATTGGTGAAGTCCCAAACAAAATGCAAACACAACAATGAATTGCTGCCGATCTAAACGCACTGATTAGTATAAAACTTGTCAATAAGCATTAACTCATGGATATTTGAGAAAAGTGTTTAGCCAGGAATATATACTCATTAGGTTAGTAGCACCAATGGAGCAGGGTGGCCATGATGTCAGTCCATGTTACCATGGTCCAGGTATAAAATTCTGGTATATACAGAAGGGCTGCACAGGCATCACCTCAACCAGACACAGCTGGACATCTGTAGTCACTATTCCAAGCCATGTGAATCACCCTCTGACATGAGGTGTTTCTCAATTAGACAGCTGCCTATAAAATGACTGCACTTCCATCCTACATTTCCCACATTTTAATGATAGCCAGTATACTTTTAGAGTCGCTGCAATTCATTGATAGACACTGTTCCCTTTAGGATTATGAAAAATATGCCCATAAATTGATCATGGGGTGTACAAGTGCCT